TAATCTGCATTACACTGATGAAATCACGGAAGTGTTTAACTACAAAAGATCCACCAATACGATTTTAATACTATTTAAAGGTTCTTCCAAAGAAAGAGATTCCAGATAGCATACTAACAACTCCGATGACGCACAATATGGGAAATATTTTATCCATTGAATGATCAACTATATTTGGTAACTAACGCAATTAATATCATTATTGTTTTTACACTTATTAATCAATGCTAATTGCTCAAAATATGTATAGTTTCACTCAATTTATCGCAGTTAGATGAATTAGCGTAAGCCTTGAAAGTAACCGTTAATTTCGACTGGTTTCACCTAGTAGTCTATAATTGATCATTTGGCAATAGTACGTATTTGATAGTTATTTAAAACGCAGGGTTTTTTACTCTGAGTGGGTTGATTTTTCGTTCGAAAATAAAAAGTCAAACTTTACCGAATACGCAGAAAAAATACACTAGGTAACACTCATGATTATAGGCTAAGAATACGACATGTATACAAACGCCATGCTGAATACAACATGTAAAAGAGGTTAACAAGTATAACCTCTCTTACGTGACTTTGGAAAGGGTTTCCTTTTATCCAAATAATTCCAATTGTGATTTCCTGGAACTTTAGCTACTGGAAGTAATACAAATATATTATATATTCCAAGTAAAATGTAGGGAAAGCTTCACCACAAAAACAATTTGCTTTGCTACCTGAAGATGAAATTGAGAATGCAATATAATTTTATCCTTTGTAACTTTACTGAGTTCAAACTTTTACAAACGGTTTTAAATCATAATTAAAATAAAGTGCTATGCAATGTTAGAACAGCATTGTTTTACAAATTCACTTAAACAAGCACTTTGCTTTCGATCAAACAAACATTGTTAAGAGGATTTAAATGAACGCTTGTGCTGTATTTTAATTCCAATTGTAACACGATAGAAACAGAAAAATATCCTTGGAGTTATCTCAACAAATGTTTTATTTGTTTTAAATCAAATAATCGCAAAATATACATGTAAAATTAAAAGTTGTAAATGGATTTTAGATAGTATTATATTAACCTTGGTCCGGCTTACATATTATTTCATCGTTCGTTTATTTCTTAGCATAATATTTTTTTACATTACTATTCGTTATACATATTATTTAAATAGTATTTAACCCTAATATTGTCTATTTGTTCTTACAATAGTAGGTTGAAATAACTTGTTATCACTTACAACAGTTTTTTTCAGCTATCCATAATCTTAGTGTCAAATAGTATATAGACAGACTCCAGGGCTGTAGCATAAGCCCTTTTGTAAAATGATTATTAGAATAACCTATTTAAGTTGTCTAATGAGTATAGTTCTCGCCTTAAGATATGAAAAATCGCCGGGTGAATTCCAAGCTAGATAAATTTCTAAGCCCTCGTACTATTTGTTATTGAGCTATCAGTTAAAGATGTAGTACAATAAGAGGTAGTCGTCAGGTGTTAAGGGCATGAGAGTTGGGATGGTAAGGAAAACGTTAAGCAACGTGAACAGACAAGAAAAATAATCTATAAATAAAAATACTTTTTATAGAAATGCCACGGTTTTAAACGCACTAAAAAGTAGAAAATAATGTATAAATATGTTGAGAGAATAAATACTTGTAATATTTAAAATGAAAAACGTAGGGCGTAATTATCCTCACTTATTATAATTATCTTTTGCATGCACCCCACGTTTTTCGTTTTATATCTTATAAGTACTCATTCTCTCCACATATATATATACTGTTTTAAACTTTTTAGTGCTTTTAAAAACGTGGCATTTAAAAAATATATTTTTATTTATAATTTGTTTTATACTTTTTAGTCTTTAATGTGTAAATATGTTAAGTATATTTTTGATATTTTGCGAATTTTAATAATTTATTTGTTTATATTGTGTAGGTGAAGTGGTAGAACTATATGGATATGGTAGATGGCTAATACTATAGTATACTGTACCGTAAATTTAAAGAAGCAAATTTTATCAAACTGTGTCCTCCCCCATTGCAAATGAAAAACTTGAGTATAACTGCAATAAGCATTCATACTTAATGCCAACCCCGTACGAAGGACGGGTTCTCTGCTAGTATTTTATATGGCCTGTTAATACATAACCAAAACCTTATTATCTGTAATCAGATGTTTCATCCTTACTTTTAAATGTTTGTTGTATATTCAGAAAGTGAGCTAATAAAAACGCGCCCATGGGGCGTAGTCCAAGGAATTATGAAAATAAAATGATTTAATACTGCGTTGTCATCCATTTGTGAGCTATGTTTCAAGTTTCATGTATTTAGCTCATCGGGACGTTGGTTTTATATCAATTGCAAAATTTGTACCGGACAATAAAGCGATCTAGTAAAAACGTTTTAAAATTATTGAATCTCTAGGAAACCATGCTAATCTATAGGTTTTATAACCACTTTTAACGATAGCACAACAAATATTAATTATGTATACTAGTTTTATAGGTTGTATAAATTTTTATCTTTTACAAAGCCCACGTGCTTATAACAATAAAAAAAAATTAACTCTTAAGGCAAGCTTTGATTTTAAACCCGTAATTTCACTATAAACCATAAAATACTATTCCCATAAATATAATGGAAGCTGTTAGAATTTTTATTAAACAGTAATATAATTTAAATTGAAGGCAAAAAAGAATTATTTCCAGTAAAACAACTGTGATTAAACGCTCCAGGCTACGATGGTATAAAGTGATGAAATGTAAAATAATGCCACAATATACGGTACTACCATATGTTTATAAAATAAAACAAAGGTCTATTATATGTATTTATCATTCATATAATCAATACCAATTATATTGTTCAGACATTATGCAAGTAAAATAATATAAAATGCATGTCATAAAATGCACACACATGTACCACAATATGTTACAATGACATTTAATAGCGGGAGTTGGAACTGTGCGTTTTTAATGAAGTCACGTAGTTTTAAGTAGTTCTAAGGAAGAAGAATATTGAATTTATACAGTATACACACTTCTAAGAGCCGTACAATGTTTTTTTTTTTTTTTTTTTTTTTGTATTAAGCCATACTTAAAACGGAATGATCTAAATTACTTACCAGGTCATGGTAATAATAAAACTCAACAGTTCGTTAGTAAAAAACACTGTTGTTCCTTAGAAATACCACTGTTCCTTAGAATTGCTAAATATTCTGTTTAAATATAGTATATTTTTTTCGTATATAATTTTAAATCCAATAAATTATTTACCATAGGCCTAATGATACCTAATATAACTTATATTTTTATTAGTATAATCTTTTGATTGTTTATTTAATTTATGTTATTGGTTTGTTTCATTATGCACATAAAAAGCAAACATCAGATTTGGATTAATTTCTATAAACAGTACTTACTTAACTCTCTGACATTGAAGTGCTACTAATCCCTGGCTTTGATAAGAACTTAAGAAGCTTTTAGGTGGATTATAGTATAAACATAGTTACTTTGTGAGTAGGTAAGATGATAACTTATAATATCCACATAAATGGCAATGTGAAAACATACTTTAAACTGATATCTTTTTAGCTAAACCATCAAATTTCTCTTGTCAAAGAGCATTGTTCATGTATATTTTAATACCCCTGCCACAGCAAACCTGCAGACTAAGCGAATTTCAACTTGTCTGATTACATTTTTACTAAAATATTACCATAAATATGACATATTTATTTCCAATACAAATAACATTCGATTTATTAAGTGCTTAGGTTTGCTGCTAGGGGGAAGGTCAAACGGGTTTTTGACCATAGGTCAATAGTATAGGATGAAAAATATAAATTTGCCAAATTTTATCAACATATAAACAACACACATAAACACAACACATAAACAAGTAAACTAAAACAAATTTCATTTTCTCCATAAGAATAAAATGGGAATTTTTAATTGCCCTTTTTTACGCTTAGGGGTACAACAGCGCTTCAATATACTAAATTACTGGTATTTCTTTTTAAGCTCTAAAAAATGGTTTAGAAAGAAATTTCAAAATCTTTTGTTTTTAGTTACGTTCGAATAAACGTAGGTTTACACGTTTTTACCAAATTTCATCAAAATCAGATTATTTTTGCTCGAGTTATCGCGCTAACGGAAACATATATATATAGATGTGTGTGAATTTGAACGGATGGTGTTTTTGGCATTTGGGGACCTCAAAACGAAAAAGTAAATCGGTCCGGGGTCTAGGTCTTACCATGAGACCTGCAGTAATAGCGTATTCCCTAAATGGGAAATTCGCTAAAACACTGTGTAAGTCGTCGATTCTTCAAATAGATTTGATCGTTTCAACATATTTTTTATTAAGTTATTTCACATCATAATCCACAAAAATGTTTTTATGTTGTAGGAATAAAAAAAAAAAAACATATGTTATATTGTATATTCAATTGTTTGTAAGTATATTAGTCAGGATACAGTTTAAGTCCCATTAATATATCCGATTTAATTTATTGTAAAGAAATTATGGGTAAAAACAATAAAGGTAGACACGTACTGTACATTTAGAAAATCTTTACTTTCATGTATATTATAAATATGTACTCATAATTTTTTTGTATTTTGTTTAAGAAATTTATATAAAAGACAGTAAAATTATTTTTAGAAATATCCTCGCGTGTTTTCTTACATACAAAGTATCACGTTTTATTTAGTCCTATCGAGTAATAAACGTAGTTAAACAACAGTTTTATGTACCAAGTATTTCCTCAATAACGTGTAAGTAAATCAGGAGTTTCCGTCCGGTTTAGTTATATTATACTTAGGTTTGTGAATTATTCATATTCTGATTAAAAATGCATACCGCTGGATAACTGACCAATTTCACATAACGTTATTATTTTTTTTCAAACTTAAAAACGTTTTTATCGAGCAAATTAAAAAATCAAGCATTCTGTACAATTCCCAAAATTAATTACTCATTAGAGTTCTATAAGCAGCAAAAGATTTTACCTTTACAATCAGCAATAATCCTCAACAGGTTCGGTCACATTATATCGTAGATACACTTAGCCCGGTGTACACTAGCAGTTGGCTGAAGCAGTGCTGACTCGGCGCCGCTCAGCTCACTACTGCCGGATGCTGAGCCAGCTTCAGGTGGTGCTGCGCAGCCGCCAACATACTGCATCTCTGCAGCACAGTGCTGAAACTACTCTTAAAGGCTGGCTCAGCATTTTATTTTGGGTCATCGTTTATCCGTTATATTGAATACAAGATTACATTTTAAATTATCATCTTTTTGTGGATTGTAGGATTATATGTTTTGTCTCATGAGCGAGTTTTATAAGTATTTGAATTAATTACTCGTAATGATAGAATTATTATTAAAAAAATTTCGTATTTGTTTTGTCGTAAATTGTGTATTTTATCAATTTCAGTTCCAAATCATCTAACACGTTTTTTAGATCGTAATGAATTTTTTAATGCATAGAAACAATGTTTGATAATTTTTAAATAATCAAAATTTTGAAAAAAGTTAAGTCCATAATGTTACATAATTTTCAGTTAATGTTTAAAACCAAGCTCGAAGGTAAAACTTGCAAAAACTCTTTTACTAATAAGAAAAATTCGAATGCTTGGAATAGTTTTAATATACTATCAGTTAATGGTGTGGCAAAGGGTTGACTTTAGATAGTTACAGGACAAAGGTTTTTAGCGTTTCCTTGCAAAAAAAGTTTAATATTTTAATGGAGTAATACATGAAATTTATATGAGGATTTAAATAGTAAATATACTAACACCCTTTAAAACTCACTTAGGATCATTAATTTATCACTTATCGTGTAACATTTTCCTTCATGTAAAGCAATAATTATTCTGATTATCTTGATGGTTGTGTTACCGTCGTCAGTATTAGTACATATTAGTGCCTGTACTCTATGAATTACGATTTTTTTGTATATATGTAAACGTATATATGGAGTTAAAATTTATAATTACGTTATTAAATAACTAATCATAAATTATATCCATATATTTACCTCACAAACCTAACATATAATATTCACATGCTGCTAAACCAGAATAAATTATCAGTAACAATAATATAGAACAATTTTCCTTTTCTTAAACATATAACCGGTTAGTTGCTTTGGTGATCTATTTTTCTCCAAATGCTTGAAATCCGTCTTATTTTTTCAAATAAATATAAAATTATAGCTGTTTTACAAAACTATGGTTTTTATTTTTTTTTTCTAAAACAATGCAGAGTTTATTTTCAGTCAGCAAAACTCTTAATGTTTTAACTCAATCGAACATGTTATTCATGATAAGCTTATAGTATATTTTTGAAAGGAATAAATTTACCGAAAATTGCATACATTTGATTCTATCTATTCCAACAAACCTAATGATGATAGAACAAACCAACTTTGGTATTCCAATGGGAAGGTAAAATTGTCGTTATATAATTTTAAGGCTAGTATAATTATTCGTACGAATCATGCAGTTTTTAAATTCTCTTCTGTGCCCGGCGCGCAATCAGAATGTACTGGCTGAAATTAATTGCAGCCTGGCTACAACCAGTAGCACCTGCAAAACAAGAACGAAATTACAACAGCCCTAACCTACCCTCGCTGTCGTCCTCACTTTTTGGCCTACGGTACCTCAGAGTCCAACTTCTGCAACTTCTACATAACCTCGATAGGTAATTAGTAAATAAGTAGTAAATTATGTAGTCAGAATTACCAATATGACATAGTTAAATCTTTTGTTAGGCGTTGCCGGGGAGAAACCAAGGGCTTTAGGATGTAGTTTTAAAACTTAATACGTCGGGTTTTCCTCCAAAGGAACCGGCATTCAACTTGTTGAAGCAAAATCACAAATTCACGTGGTTCTAAATTGTTAAAATTATTCCCTGCTGTCAATTCGAGTAATTTATTCCAAATTGCATTACTTCGATCAAGATTTCATACTCCACAGTTAGTTCGTTATTAGTTGTTCATTTCGAAGCAATTCTTACATTTTCAGGTGGAGGTATAGTTATAAGGTTTCCAAGTTATAAATTAGTAAATCACAGCTCATCAGAAGCTGGCTTATGGTGTTTATGGCAATGGGCACGATCAACCTCAGGGTAAAACCTTTCCTTTAAACTAGACGATTACAGCCCTTCCTAATTCCTCAATCAGACAATTATTATTTTATTAAATATTTCCACGTCTATAAATAAATGTTCCTCATCTATCCACCCAACCTTTCCATTATTCCACAGACACACCCCACCAGTTTCAATCAGTAACAACCAGTCGCGAATTCTCATCAATCGTTTCAAATTGGTAGCAAACTCAAATTCCCGTACCTTGCAAAATATGTGTTAAAAAAATAGTTTAAACTACAGTAAAATCGATTCTCTATTAATAAATCAATTATTTAAATCACAAGTTTACGTACATAATCAACCACAGTGAAATCAATCAGCATACGCAAATTTCCAACCAAATAATTACCACTTAATCAGCTTCTGCAGTAATTGAAACTAACTAAATTTTGATTAACGACACGATAACCTCGGTAAGTATGTTATTTTTGGCATTTTAATATGCATTTAACTAATACAGTTATCGACAACATTTCCTGTATATTGAGAATTCTATATAATTGAAACGTGTTCGCTTACAAATCTAAACTCAATCTTCATATTGTACACAATTATGAAATGTTTTTAAAAATAGGTTAATGATTAATACCCCCACCGCAGCAAACGTGCAGACTAAGCGAATTCATATTTTCCTGGCTGAATTTCTACTAAAATATTCCCTTAAAATTATCAGTTTAATTTGCTATTTCAAAAACATAAATTTTAATGTAGAGTACTAAGGTTTGCTGATACAGAGAAGGTAATGAGGTGTTTTTTTTTTATAGAAATTTCGATAGCTTAGTATGAAATAAACAAAATTATTTATTCTCCATAAAATTAACATGGGAATTTTAAATTATAAATTGTTTGAATACCTCTGTAACCGGCATACAATAACGCTTCAGTAAAAACTTATTTAGTTTTTTAATCTCTACAAAATGGTTTGGATATAAATTGTGAAATTTTGTGTATTTAGGGTCGAAAAAAAAAAAAAAAAACAATTCTTATATATTGTATAGAGTATGTTTTTACAAACAAGATCTTTTTAATTTCTTATTTTAACTGGAACAAATTATTCTTATAACTAAAACAATTTTACCATCATTAGATATAAATGATTAAATATAGATAATTTGCTGTACGATATTTATTTAGTGTGTATTGCATTGGGAAAATTATTTAAATATACTAAGTCCAAATTCAATTGATTACATGTTAGTACCAAGGTGAGGTAAAATGAGTCACATCCTCTAATTACTTGTTTTAGTGCACTTGAGTCCCAACTAATTAAAACTGACTTATTTGCTTGTATTTTAGAAACACTTAAAAATACATTACGATACTACATGAATATATGTTACAATATTGTAGCACCTAGATGGGGGAATAAATGGTAACCAACGATTTGAAATTTTTACTGGAGAAATAAAATACAGTAGGATGAAAACGTAAATTTACGGTGTAATTTTTTACTAAAATTATTATATAAATAATAATATTCGACTATTTGTAAACAAATCCAACAAACTGCTATACAACATGTGTTAATAATCAAACTAATTAAAATCTACACGCATAATCTCATAAAGCACACAAACATATCGCGTAATAAAGCATTTAACATCTACTAACTTCGTTACCGTAGATTATTTACAAGAAATAACAATTGTATCAAATATATTATTGTTTTGACTATTGATTTTTCAATTTTGCATTGGACTGGTTGATGGCTAGTGGGACAGGTAGAAATCGATGATAAAAAAAATCATTGTCTTTTGTATTAATTGTCTTGAAAATAATCATAAATTAAGTGTAATATATTTCCTTGTTGTATTGTAAGGCATCTATAATAACTGCTTCTGTAAATTACAACCAATACCTAAAATGCTAACTAATTGGTTTTATGTGCTACTGACCTGCTTTAAATTAATTGGAACCGATTTTATACCTCTGTCTATTTCCATTTGGTCACATGCTTTTTCCTACTACTATATAAGCAGCATGTTTTATTGGTGGTTCTAAGGCCTCATTGTAAATTCTAACTCGCCTAACTACTTGAAATTCTAATTATGCCGAAAGTTTTATCAGGACTAATTGTTAAATGATGATCAATCCTAGCTTAGTTCTTGGCCACGCCTCGGTTCTAAGTATACAATCCATTATGCATGAGCCATGGTCGGCGAGTTGTTGAAGCAGTTAATGCTAGAGTAATAGCCGCTTGTTCTGACTAAGTAATTTCTACAGCTCCGCTGCGGTTTGGTGCGTTGCTGATTTTCCTCATCAATGGCGGATTGTTAAATTTGGTTTGAGCTTATTGCTATATGGAATATTAAATTAAATCTGTTATTAACTAGCTTTTTTGTTGTTATATTCGTGCAAACATTTTCTCGGGTGGATTAAAACAGCCCTATTTACAACACACTTTTCCTGCACGGGAGTTCGCATCTGTTGCCAAGACAGCTCAGCTAACAATGGCTGGATGAAATCCCAGCGTTTGTGATAAGGGAATGCACTAGACTAAAGGTCACATAATGCCGTGATTTCACAACTTGTTTTATATACTTGTACTATATGGATCTTGTTTTATATTCTTTTGTTGTACAACTGATTATAGTAATTAATTGGTTTGAACATGGTTAAAAATGCAATGAAAAATATTAAACATTTTACTTTGACATTTAAAAATATCGACAAGCCTTTTTTTATAACAGATTGTAACATTCCCAACCCACGTCAAAGGACATTTGTTTATGAACCTTTTTGTACAACATGTTTGATGTCCACTTAAAACGTGAAACTAGTTTACCAAACATCGGATCAGCTCAACGATGTAAAGAACATAGATGGTTCCGCTGTCTAGGCTCCAGTTTCCTTACATGTCAATAAGAAAAATTCAAGTCTTTGTGACGAGATTCGACCACAAAAAAACATTTTTTTTTTATAAATATTACTGTATGAACATATGTAAATGATCACAGCTGTGGGTTCAGG